AAAGTGGATCAAAGACTTAGACATTAGAACAAAGATCCTGTAACTAATAGAAGAAGATAAAGTAAACTTAAATCTTCATCATGTTGGCTTAGGACCTGACTTCCTCAATAAGACTCCTAAAGCTCAAGAAGTAAAATCAAGAATCAATAAATAGGATGAATTAAAACTAAAAAGCTTCTTTTCAGCAAAGGAAACAATCAAAACATGATGTGAGAGCCTAAAGAATGGAAAAAAATATTTACCACTAATCTCCAAGGTATATAAAGAACTGAAAGAACTTAACAACAACAAAAAAAAACTAAATAACCCAATCAATAAATGGGCTAAGGAATTGAACAGACCCTTTAGAGAGGAAGAAATACAACTGATCAAGAAACATGCAAAAATGTTCATCATCTCTAACAATTGTTAGAGATGAAAAAATCAAAACTACTCTTAAGATTTCCTCCCACTCTGGTCAGAATGGCAATTATCAAGAATACAAGTAATAAGAAATGTTGGCAAGGATGTGGGAAAAAAGTACTCCCGACTTTTTATTAGCTTTTAATTTATTATGTTAACAGTTACAATCATGCTTGTACAGTCATGCATTGCTTAATGATGGGACATGATATGAGAAATGCATCATTAGATGATTTTTGCAGTATGAACATCAGAGTGTATGACACAAAGTTAGGCAACTGAGATATCACCAGGTGATGTCCTATTATGGGACCACTATCATATATATTGTCGTTTTTTTACTGAAACAGTGTTATGTGGCACAGAAATGTATCTCAAACACTTTTCATGTGGATTCTTCTGATATATAAAAATTTACAATAAGAAAGAGGAAAAAGACTAGATATTTTCCTGATTAAAGTAATAATGATCAGTAAAAAAGAAACACGAATTTGCCATTTCTGACTTTAAATAGCAACCTAAAGATCTAATTTGTCTATAATTAGATTTCGTAGCAAGTTTCCTTTCATGAAACCTCTTTCACTTAAAAGGAATTAAGATCAGATTTTTACAAAGGCAGTGAGAGTGTTTGTGATAGATTTATTCAAATTCTCCATTGTTGGGCTGGAGTTGTGGCTCAGTGGTATAGCGCATACCTAGCACCTATGAGGCACAGGGTTCAATCCTTAGCACCACACACACACAAAAATAAAATAAAATAAAATAAAATAAAATAAAATAAAATAAAGAAGATATTGTGTCCATCTACAACTAAAAAAAAAATTAAAAAAATTCTCCATTATTCCACCAAAATGTGCCATTTTTGCCTTCCTGTATCTAGTGCTGAATAATGAAGAGACACTGTGGTTGCTGACCACCACTAGCAGTTAAGTCCTATTTACTAGGGCTCAAATGCAGGTAACACACTCCATTCATTCATTGATTCCTTAGGGTCTGTACTCAATACCAGAGTGGAGGGCAGAATTTATAAGGTACAAATCCATGCTCCTATGTTCAGACTGGTAGGAAGAATAAGACATAAACTCAAATAACTACTATCAGGAAAGATATGACAATTTAGAGAAGGAAATGAACTAATCTAATTCTTCACCCAGTGCATCGATAAATTAAAACTATAAATTTCAGAAATATCTAAGTGACATTCAAAAACTGACCTGCAATTGAAAATGACAGGAAAATTTATAAATCTCCTAAAAGTTAAGATGGTCACATCAAACTCAACCTTTCAATTCTGGCCTTGATTTAATTTAAAATTCTGCTTTTCTTATTATCCAACATAATTATTTTCAACAACAGACTGGGAAAATATGGTCTTGACCAGGGCCAATCACACCAATGTTCTTTCAAGATTTAAAAAGACAGAGTTTTCAAATATACATTTCCTGTAAAAGAAAAACATGGTCACTACACTAACTCAGACAAACATGGAGGTAGTAGGAAATTATATTTACTAAAGCCTTCACTCAGAGACAAAACTGTTAATTCTGTCATGTTAAATTGAAAACAGCTAAATTTTAATGAATAAACTATCTTATACTGAATATTCTACACTTAATTCAAAAGAAAGAAATCTGTTCATCATGTACTCACAATTATGTTCTTGTAAAATTCACAGATACTTTCTTGACATATAGTACCATGAGAAAATCTAAGTGTAATGCCATGGATAAGAAGAGTTGTAAACTAAAAYTGTTCTACAGAATGTCATCCAACTGCTAAATTATAAAATTATACTGGAATAAAAATTTAAAAATTTGTGGCCCAGAATACTTGCTACAATTGCTCAAAACACCAATGTAGGCACACTGGCATATAAATAATGCACGGTGTGTCTAATTATTACTTCTCAGGCAAAGCAATGTGCACACTGAAGAGAGGACTGCAGGCAGGATGGGATAAGCAGAGGATTCTAAATCTTCTTTGTTCTTAGCATTCTTAGTGTTCCAGTAATTTTTTCAAGGTGTGCCAAGGCCAAAAGAAGTAGGTAACATTTCTGTTAATTATACAGTTAGGCCCCAACAATTTAATAAATATGTGTGTCCTAACAATTAACTAGCCATTTGAAAAGTAATACCCATAAACTGAGAGAAATACAGTTTTATTTCATTCTTAAGAATTTAAGTGTTTTTACCATCATTTCTATCTAGAGTTCATCTATTCCTCCCATGCTTCTCTTCCCTACCCCACTATGAATCAGCCTCCTTATATCAGAGAAAACATTTGACATTTGGATTTTTGGGATTGCCTAACTTCACTTAGCATTATCTTCTCTAACTCCAATGTGATAGACATTATTTTCCAAAGTACATGTATGAAGACACAAATTGGTGTGAATATACTTTGTATACAACCAGAGATATAAAAAATTGTGTATAATAAGAATTATAATGCATTCCACTGTCATATATAAATAAAAAATTCATAGAAAAATTTATAAGTTTTTTTTATGTTATTGTATTTAAATTTTTAAAAAATTGTTAATGGACACAATATTTATTTTTTATGTGGTGCTGAGGATCAAACCCAGTGTTTCATGAGTGCTAGGCAAGTGCTCTGCCACTAAGCCACAATCCCAGCCCTGTTATTTTATTTTTTATACCTTTATTTAATTTATTTTTATGTGATGCTGAAGATCAAACCCAGTGCCTCACACATACTAGGCAAGCACTCTACCACTGAGCTACATACAACCACAGCCCCATCATTCCTAAATGACCACATTACTTAATAATGGGATGTGTGCATCTGTTGAGCATTGTACAACTTCTCAAATTTGGAACTGAATTGAGTACCACCACCCTCATTTCCTGTTTTACACTGATTTTGTGCTTTTTATCACAGCAATTACCAAAAAACTAACTTTGCAAAAATATGTGTACAATGTGTTATCAAAAAGAATGCAGCATAGTCTACTGCTGACACTGGGAACTTCTTTGGAGCAGAGGTTCCATTGACTTTGCTGCAGTACTCAGGTCAGCTGGTTTGGTGCAGTTTGGCCACTGCGGGTCTAAGGTAACCTGGGCCCATTGCCCTATTTATCTTTGTAAAAGTGGTAGGAACTCCCTAAGAAATGGCTGTCTTTGAAAGATGTGCCTCTGAAGTGTAAACTATTGGTTCTGTTCTACAAAAGCAGAGATCCAAATTGGGACACATATTCCTTAGTTATACAGAGACAAAAGAAACTCTCTTTCTCATGGACTCCCATGGAATGTACATGCCACTGGGTTCCAATGGAGCTATCTTCAGATTCTTATTTGTTTCTACTCATATGAATGCTTGTTATGACCTTTAATCATACAATCTACTTTACAACAAAAATCCTTTAATACTTAATCCAAAAGGTGACTATTAACTTGCAAATGGAATTAAAAATACTTACTTAAGTAGTCATTTGTTAGAAGAAAGGAAAAAGCAATAACAGAGTCCCCTGGATTTAGAGAATAATCTGTCATAGTAATTTAAAGAGATCCTGGATTGTCAGAATAATGTCCCCTATCCCACAAAAACATTCACACTGTCGTCTCTGGAATTTGTGAATAAATTGTCTTACACGGCAAAGGGGATTGAGGCTGAGGTGAAATCATGGCTGCTCATCAGCTGAGTTTAAAACTGAGAGATTATCCTGGATTATCTAAGAGGGCTCAGTRTAATCAATCACAATTGATTCCTTAAAAGTGGAATAAGGAGCTGAGAAAGGAAGGCAGAAGAGGAGAGAAGAGAAGAAGAGAGAGGGGACAGGGAGACAGACTATGGGAGAAAGGTAGGGAGCAGTGTGACAGGACTTGGCTTCCTCCTGCTGACAATGGAGGACAGATCATAAGTCAGGAATAGGGAGTTATCTCTAGAAGCTAGAAAAGGTGAGGAAACAGGTTTTTCCCTTAGTCTACCCACACTTTGATTTTAGCCCAGGAAGACCAATGGTGAATCTCCTTCTAACCCACAGATACATAAGATAATAAAGTCATGCTAAGTCACTAAATTTATGCAACTTAGAATAGCAATAGAGAACAGAGGCTGAATTCATAGTAATGATAATCATATAAAGAACAGCAACTATGAGTGTTTTGGAAACTAGATGAGCTAAGAAAATTGGCTATAACATACTTTGAACAGGTATTTTCAGTAAGCTTTGTTTTTGTACTAATAAAGAAAGCCAAATATAAAATACAGTTATAGGTGTTGGTTCAAAAACATTTAATATCTTAGCCTTTTGCCCTTGTTTTATTATATAATAATTATTATGAAGATCATAAAATCTTTGTATTATGCTCYGATATGAATTTTTTAAAAAACCAGCTTTTCATATTATATGAGTTTTGACCAAAGAATATACTTCTTTTTCATATGCAGAACACCAATTAAAATATTTTTTATTATTTCTTGGGCTCCTTTTAGATGGGATGATGGCAGGATGATTGAACAAGGAAAATCATTGTGTATTTAATAAATGGAAAGCAAAAAAAGTCCTACTATCAGAGAATGTTTACTTCCGTRAACTAAAAATATTTATTCAAACTTCAAAAATAGCCTGTGCTCACCTGTAGTCAAAGGCAGGTGTGTGATACTGTTCAAACAGGTCAGGGTGAACCATGTGGATGACAGTGTAGCCCCAGAAAATAGGAGGAGAAGAATTAGCTTCAGCATACCCCGGATAAAATCTGCAAACCTGAAAAGAAACACTGTTCTATTAATTCTATCTGAACCTTTAATTTTTATAAATAACACTTAAGAACATGCTTTCCTTAAACAATGCAAAGAATTCCCCATGCTTTATTTAAAAACTAGCTATATCTTTGTTTTTTAATTGACATATTTTCTTGTATTTATGATGTTACTTTATATTTTTTTCCTTTTTTTTTAATTTATTTTTTTAATGTTGGTTGTTCAAAACATTACATAGTTCTTGATATATCATATTTCACATTTTGATTCAAGCGGGTTATGAACTCCCATTTTACCCCGTATACAGCTTGCAGAATCACATCAGTTACACTTCATTGCTTTACAT